TGATATCACTCATTTCTGGAATATAGAGAACAACATAGACTGATGAGCAGGGACAGATCCAAAGACAGAGAAACAAGGATCAGACTATCAATCCCCAGAGGGAAAGTAGAGGAGGGTGGGGGTAAGGGGAAGAAATTAACCAAAGGACTTGTATGCGTGCATATAAGCCAAACCAATGGACATGGACAACAGGGGGATGAAAGCATGAGTGTGTGTAGGGGTGAGGTTGGGGGTTAATAGGGGGGATGAGGACACACTTGTAATACCTTAACCAATAAAGAAAGATTAAAAAAAAAAAAAAACACCATGCAAAATTGTCTCCCAAAAATTACAATGAATTACATAACCTCAACCAATGTTAAATTACTATGTCCGTTTGAGTACATCTCTGCCCCAAAATAAAGTTTCAATCTTTTAACTTGTGTCACTATGAAAAGTAAAAGCTTAACTTATGTGGATATTTTTGTCTATTTGTGAATTTGTTTTTCATGTATGAGTCATTTAAATTTCTTCTATCAACAGATTTTGGCTTTTTTATTGATTCCCTATTGGTTGCCTTTTAAAAAGATCTTTGAATTATAGAGGTCTTATGTTTGAGACACATTATGCCTTAAGACTTCCCCACTACATTAGCATTAAGGAAAACATTCTCTTCCAATACTTTGTGATTTTATTGTATGTAAGTAAATATTTAACCTACCTGAAATTTGTATTGGTGTAGAGAATGTAATGAGTCATCTTCTTTGTTCTCAAATGGCTAGTTATCACAGTGTATTTAATGAATGTATTATTCTACACTAAGTATGAGATGAAGCCTATATTCCTTTAAATCTCCACATATACTTGGATTTATATTAGGACATTTTATTTCATTTGACTTACCAGTATTATCTATATTTTTTTCCCACTCTCTCTTTTTAGGATTTACTATAAATCATTAACATATACAAATTGTCATTTACCAACACAATTTTTAATAATCTTAATATTAGGTATTAATATTAGAAATTTTAAGATATTATATTCCCATTGAAAGAAAAAAGTACAAAAAACAGAATCATACTTTCTTAAAATCAGAATTAACAGCTAGTTTGTGATCATTTCTCTAGCTTCACAGATGTTTGAGGATTTGATCAAATTCTTCTTTCAGAGAAACCAAGATAGCAGCATAGGTAAACACCGGAGATTGCTGCCTCGCACAACCACTTCAAAAATACAACTAAAAGATGGAACGGACATCACCCAGAACCACAGGAAGGCTGGCTGAGGGGAAATTCTACAACTAGAAGGAAAGAGAAAAGCATACCGAGACTCAGAGGAGGCGCGGTGCGGAAGTAAAATACAAAGGTGTGGAGGTGCGTGTGGAGCAGGCTGGCAGTTGAGGGCATGGCTGTCTGTTTCAATCGGGAGGGAGTCTCAGGCTCTGAGCTCCAGTTCCGGGCAAGTCTCTGGGGACCCAGACTCATATGGGAGAAGTGGGACTGTCTGACATCGGTCAGAATTCGAGGGTAGCTTCCTCTCTGAGGTACTTGCAGCAGTTGCTGGGACACTGAGAGGCAGAGCCTCCGAGACGGGACTGAGAGCAGCTCGCTCTGCCCGCCCTGTTGATCCCCTGGGACCCGCCCCGCCCAAGCCTTGCACAGAGGCATTTGCTGAATAGCCTCAGGCAAAGGCTAGATTAGCACCTCCCTAGAGGACAGAAGTTCTCCCATTGCAAACACAGCTGATTCTCACAGCCAGTTGGCCTGGAGGTCAAATCCCCCCCAGTGTTACCTACAATAATCAAGGCTTAACTACAACAAGACTGTGCACAAAGACCACTAGGGGGTGCACCAAGAAAGCATAAAAAATGCGGAGACAAAGAAACAGGAAAAAATGACAGAAATGGAGGAAAGCAAAATGCTGGATATAGAGTTCAAAACCACACTTTTAAGGTCTCTCAAGAACTGTCTAGAAGCCGCTGATAAATTTAGTAAGGCCCTCAAAAAGACTGGTGAGACCGCCGATAAATATAGTGAGATCCTCAAGAAATCTAATGAGACCCTCGATGTTGTGATAAAGGACCAACTAGAAATTAAGCATACACGGACTGAAATAATGAATATTATACAGACTCCCAGCAGCAGACAAGAGGATCCCAAGAATCAAGTCAAAGATTTGAAATGAGAAGAAGCAAAAAACACCCAACCAGAAAAGCAAAATGAAAAAAGAACCCGAAAATACGAAGACAGTGTAAGGAGCCTCTGGGACAGCTTCAAGAATACCAACATCCGAATTATAGAGGTGCCAGAAGATGTGAGAGAGCAAGATATTGAAACCTATTTGAAGAAATAATGACAGAAAACTTCCCCTACCTGGTGAAAGAAATAGACTTACAAGTCCAGGAAGCGCAGAGAACCCCAAACAAAAGGAACCCAAAGAGGACCACACCAAGACACATCATAATTAAAATGCCAAGAGCAAAAGACAAAGAGAGAATCTTAAAAGCAGCAAGAGAAAGAAACTCAGTTACCTACAAGGGAGTACCCATACGACTGTCAGCTGATTTCTCAACAGAAACTTTGCAGACCAGAAGGGAGTGGCAAGAAATATTCAAAGTGATGAATGCCAAGAACCTACAACCAAGATTACTTTACCCAGCAAAGCTATCATTCAGAATTGAAGGTCAGATAAAGAGCTTCGCAGATAAGGAAAAGCTAAAGGAATTCATCACCACCAAACCAGTATTATATGAAATGCTGAAAGGTATCCTTTAAGAAGAGGAAGACAAAGAAAAAGGTACAGATACAAATTATGAACAACAAATACGCATCTATCAACAAGTGAATTTAAGAATCAAGTGAATAAATAATCTGATGAACAGAATGAACTGGTGATTATAATAGAATCAGGGATATAGAAAGGGAATGGACTGACTATTCTTCAGGGGGGAAGGGGTGTGGGGGATGCGGGAAGAGACTGGACAAAAATCGTGCACCTATGGATGAGGACAGTGGGTGGGGAGTGAGGGCGGAGGGTGGGGTGGGAACTGGGAGGAGGGGAGTTATGGGGGGAAAAAAGAGGAACAAATGTAATGATCTGAACAATAAAGATTTAATTTAACAAAAAAACACAAAAACACAAATTCTTCTTTCAACAGTATATCAAAGAACTTAAATACCAGATCTGACCAATGTTGTACTCTGCCAACCAGACAACTGTACCTTATGAGAGTCTTTATCAAATAATGTGTAACCAAAAATGAGAGCTAGATTCATAAATTTGAAGACCTTTGAGACTAAGCTAGGCATAAAATTGAATGGACCCCAGACTTAAACTCAGATGGCTGGTTGGCAACAACTCAGTGTCATCACTCATAACAACATGCATCCCACATGTAGAATGAAAAGATTACAATATTAAAGGCACAAATACACAAATAAACAATGTTCTTGAACTCTCCCTTTCTTTAATTTGTAGCTCATTCATTGGATATATAAAATAGATGATGTGAAGGCACTTATTTTTGCAAAATGGAAACAATGTCTGCCTATGATTTGGCTTTATTATAATGAATAGACATGAAATGCTATTTGAACAAGAAACGAAAGTACATGGGTTTTTTTTTACTTATACAAAATAAAGTATCAAGTTTTCCTATTTAAAAAAAAAAAAAAAAAAAGAGCCCTAGCCGGTTTTGCTCAGTGGATAAAGTGTTGGCCTGTGGACTGAAGGGTCCCAGGTTCGATTCTGGCCAGGGGCACATACCTGGGTTGCTGGCTTGATCCCCAGTAGGGGGCATGCAGGAGGCAGCTGATCAATGATTCACTCTCATCATTGATTTGATGTAGAATTTACACTTGATTAAATGAAGAGATAAATCATCAAAATTAACTGAAGAGGGAAACGTGAATGAATATACTATCAACCATGAAGAAAAGCCAAAAAGTTATTTTATAAAATCACCCCTTCCTGCCCTGGCTGGTTTGGCTCAGGGGATAGAGCATTGACCTGAGGACCGAAGGGTTCCAGGTTCCATTCCTGTCAAGGGCACATACCTGGGTTGCGGGCTCAATCCCCAGTGGGGGGGCATGCAGGAGGCAGCCGATCCTTGATTCTCTCCCCACCCCCCCTTCCTCTCTGAAATCAATAAAAATACATTTAAACTAGAGGGGATGGGTGGGGCCCGCTCCTCCTCCTCCTTCTCCTCCACCTCCTTTTTAATTCTCAACTAAGGATATTTTTCCATTGATTTTTAGAGAGAGTGGAAGAGAACGGGGAGAAAACAGAGAAGCATCAATGTGAGAGAGATACATCATTGGTTGTCCCCGGCACACTCCTGGACCAGAGCCAGGGAACCTGCAACCAGGTACACGCCCTTCACGGGAATCAAACCCGGGACCTTTCAGTCCGCAGGCCGACGCTCTATCCACTGAGGCACACCAGCCAGGCCTGGAGATGGTTGCTCTAAATGCAAGTGACAGTGGGCTCAGCGCTCCAGGGAGGAGAGCGCGATATTGATCAGACAAAGACGCAGTAACCCGGACTCCAGGGGGATGGCGCCCAGAGCACCGCCTGGGGACAGAAGGAACCACCCCGCAGCCCATGGGCCTCTTCCTCCCACGGCGGGTCCCTGGGTCTGTTTGCGCCGCGCCCCGCTCCCACCCCACCGCCCCAAGCGCACCTCTTGGAGCGTCCCTTCCCCAATTGCGCCAGAGGGGGGCACTGTTGCTGGTGAGTGAAACCAGGTTAAGTCCGAGAGGCGCGGATCCAGCTCCCCAAACACGGCCCTCACAAAGCCGGGCGCACCTCAGCCCGCCCGCCAGCAAAAGCGCGTGTGACGCCCTTCCCCCTCCCTCCTCCCCCCTCCCCCCATCCCCTGCCCCGCTTCCCAGGCGGGTCTTCCCAGTCTCCACGCAACAATGGAGCTGGGGCGGCGCCAGTGGCCTCATTTGCATACGCCGCGGCTCCGCCAATGGGCTGCGCTGGGGGCTTTGGAACGCGGTGTTGCCAACCGCCCGGGCGCGAGGTGCGGGCGTGACCCGGAGGAGGCGGAGGTGGTGGCCGCGGCCCTGGAGGCGGGCCCGGCGGAGCCCAGCGCCGGGGGACCGGCCCTGGCTCCCGTTCCGCCGGCGCCGCGCGGCCGCGAGGCCCGGCCCAGCGCAGAGACCACGCACTTCCGGGAGCGCGCGGCCGCGATGTCGGTGGGGACGCTGAAGAAGCAGTTACTCCAAGCCAGCCAGGTGGGGGCGCGGAGCGGGGCGCAGGAAAGTGGGGGGCTGGGTCCCCGACGCTCCGGGACCTGAAGGCTCCAGATCTGCCGGCCTAGAGTGCGCGGGGGTGGAGTCAGGGTCTCGGGGCTGAGAATGTGGCGGGCCGCAGCGTCCCCGCGCGGAGAGGGGGGCCGACCGCGGACCCCGCTTGTGCCTCCCCCCGCCTTGGGCTGGGTGGAGGACGCAGGGAATGCTGGGTAACCCCCGGGCACGTGCGGGCCGGGGACCCCCCCCGCCACCCCCTGCCTCGGGCCCCGCCCCCCGGGGGCTCCCTGCGCGTGCGCCTAGCGATGGATCCGCTGGACTGCGCCTCCCTTCGGGCCAGGGTCCCCCACCGCCGTCCGTCCTCCCCACGCCGTCTCTCCCAGGAGTTCCGACCTGGCCCCCAGGTGGGGGGACACCTAGGCCCTACGGACGCGTCCTCAGTGTTAGACACCCCCTCACGCATGCGCAGAGGATTGTTATCGCCGGAGGGGGGCGGGGGCCGTCCCTGAGAGCTTCCCGGAGGAGGAGAGATCTTGGTCCTGGGAGAATGAAGTAGGAGGAGCAATTGGGGGTCGGGGACTGGGAGGAAAGGAGGAAGGGCGTTCTGTGCTGAGGAAGCAGGACAACTGGCCTGGAGGCGTGAGGTTGTGTGTGTGTGTGTGTGTGTGTGTGTGTGGACGTTGGTGTGTGTGGAGAAGCCAGTTTGTATTCCAATCCTGCAGCCTCTTCCGGCCACGGCAGGGCTCTCCCTGTAAAACCTGTCGTATCCTGCACCCCTGGACCTGCACTCCGGCTCCCCCTCCCCACCGCCCCCCAATGTTGCTAGAAGCAGGTGAGGGACAGCCTTTGGAATACACATTCCTGAGATCTCACCCGGCGCCTCCACACATTGGCTCCTGAAAAGCTGCTGGGATGAGCGGGTTCTCTTCTTGTTGCCTCAGTCCCAGGCCTAGGCTCTCTCTGTCCTCCATCTCTCCCCTTCCCTGGATGCTGCCTGGGTGATGTTGGGGCTGCCCTGTGTGGACAGGGGTGCTCTTCTGGGAGATAGTCCTACAGGAGGATCAGATGGGGAGGGGAGATGGACTCCCTGCTGATCCTGGGCGCTCTGAGGGGTCTCTGGGGGCACGTGTATCTCCTGACCTGGGACAAAGGGTGTGAGGCCGAGACATACTCTTTTGGCCTTTCCAGCCTAAATGGAGATTTAAAAATATAAGTGCAACCCTCGCTGGTTTGGCTCAGTAGATAGAGCAAGGGCCTGCAGACTGAAGGGTCGCAGGTTCCATTCCTGGTCAGGGCACATGCCTGGGTTGCAAGCTCGAACCCCAGTTTGGGGTGTGCAGGAGGCAGCCAATCATTGATGTTTTTATCTCTCCTCCATTCCTCTCTGAAATCAATAAAAATTTTAAAAATAATAAAAATCAACTTTATTTAAAAGTATATACATATATATATATATATATATATATATATATATGCAAATGGAAGTGAGAAAATGCACAATGAGCTAACTAGGGACTAGGGACATATTTAGTGCAGTACTTGATGAGTGTGGCCACTCAGTTTATATCCACAGAATGAATGAAACTTTGGGTTGGGGGAAGGAAGGATAGGAGAATTCAGGGGAGAGAAGGGTGTCATGGAAACCCAGAGAAAGGGATGTCCACAGTGGGGCTCTGAGCTAGGCATTGAGGAGCGACCTCAGGTGGGGTGCACTGTGATTAGGCTTGTCACACCAGCTTCCTTCACAGGGAACTCACCTCTTTTAATATGTACAGTAGAGGCCCAGTGCATGAAATTCTGCAGTAGGGTCCCTAGGCCTAGCCTCGTGCAATCAGGGCCGTCTTCTGCCCGTTTGCCAGTCCCCAGGCTGAACACCACCTCCACCGCCGGGCTGTCAGGCCTGTGGGAAAGCGGGTGCCGGAGACTTCACCTCCATGCATGTGCGCTGGGCTGGCCGCTGATGGGACGGCGCTGCTGCCGCTGCCGCTGGGGCTTGGGGCACTGACAGAAGCTACAGGGCATGCCCACAACCTACCCGCCCTGGCGTGAGCGGCCCGAGCAGGCAGTGTGTTCCATCAGTGGCCGGCCTGGCGCACGTGCTTGGAGGTGAGAAGTCGTCGGCACACGCTTTCCCTCAGGCCTGAGCCCCCAAGCAGCCAGGGATGAGCTGGTGATCCCAACAACCAGTCCAGTCCTCCTGCCACCCACCCCAATTCCCCCATTCACCATCGCTGATCCATTGGAGCCTGAGGGCCGGGGACATGGACCAAGAGGTCAGCCGTTCAGCCTGCTCACCAGTCCCCAGTCCCACTCTGCCGTTGCTTGCGGCCATGGGTGGGGGGTGTAGGGACTGAGAGGTGGTCAGTGCCACCTCATGGTGCCTGGTTGAGCGGTCATTCCGGTCGTGACGCTTATGGCCTCTGGCCTTTTATTATAGAGACTAGAGGCCCGGTGCACAAAAATTTGTGCACTCTGGGGGGGGGGGGGTCCCTCAGCCTGGCCTGTGCCCTCTCGCAGTCTGGGACCCCTTGGGAGATAACAACCTGCTGGCTTAGGCCTGCTCCCAGATGGCAGAGGGCAGGCCCAATCCCTAGGTGCAGCCCCTGGTTGGGCTCAGAGCAGGGCCAACTGGGGAGTTGGGGCGCCGCCCCCTGTCATGCACAGAGCAGGGCATTGGGAGGTTGCGATGCCACCCTCAGTCACGCTCAGGGTAGGGCCGATTGGGGGGTTGGGGCACCGCCCCCTGTCACACTCAAGGCAGAGTCGATGGGGAGGTTGTGGCGCCACCCCCTGTCACGCACAGAGCAGGGCCTATCAGGGGGTTGGGGAGCTCCCCCCCTCCCCCCCGTCATGCACAGAGCAGGGCCCATCAGGGGGTTGAGGAGCTCCCCCCTGTCACAGAGTATGGCCGATAGGGGAGTTGGCACACCACCCCCTGTCACACACAGAGCAGGGCGGATCAGGGGGTTGGGGTGCCACCACTGTCACACTCAGGGCAGGGCCGATGGGGAGGTTATGGCTCTACCCCATCACACACAGAGCAGGGCCCGTGGGGAGGGGGGAGGGGGTTGGGGCGCCGCCCTCTATCACCCACAGAGCAGGGCCCATCAGGGGGCTGGGGCGCCTTCCCCTGTCACGAACAGAGCAGGGCGGATAGGGAGGTTGTGGCCCCACCCCCTGTCACACACAGAGCCGCAGGGGGATCAGGGGGTTTAGGCGCTGTCCCCTGTCATGCTGATCCCGGTGCCGGGAGGCCTTGTGGCTCCGCTGATCCCAGTGCTGGGAGGCATATTACCCTTTTACTATATAGGATAGAGGCCTGGTGCACGGGTGGGGGCCGGCTGGTTTGCCCTGAAGGGTGTCCTGGATCAGGGTGGGGGTCCCCACTGGGGTGCCTGGCCAGCCTGGGTGAGGGGCTGAGGGCTGTTTGCAGCTGGTCACACACCCTTCAGGGGGGGGTCCCCACTGGGGTGCCTGGCCAGTCTGGGTGAGGGGCTGAGGGCTGTTTTCAGGCTGGGACTGAAGCTCCCAACTGCTCCTTTTTTTCTTTATTTTTTTTTATTCTGGGCCAGCTTTAGCTCTGAGGCTTCAGCTCTTAGGCCTCAACTCCTGAAAGCAGGTATCTGGTTTGTTTCGGTTCTCGAAACTCTGTATCAACTCCAGCTCTGAGATCCCAGCCGGCTGAAAGTTGGTTTCTAGAGTTTTGTTTAGCTTCTGTATTTGTTACAATGTTTGAAACTGCAGGCTCAGAGGCCTGCAGTGGCAGGCGGTGAACATTGGAGTCCTCCGTCACTGAAGCAAGCAAGCCTCATGTTAGTTTCAAGCTGCCTGGCTGCTAGCCGCCATCTTGGCTGACAGTTAATTTGCATATTGCCCTGATTAGCCAATGGGAAGGGTAGCGGTCGTACACCAATTACCATGTTTCTCTTTTATTAGTGTAGATAATTTTTACTGCTTTCAGAGAGGAAGGGAGGAGAGAGAGATAGAAACATCAGTGATGAGAGAGAATCATGGATTGGCTGCCTCCTGCACCCCCCCACACTGGGGATGGAGCCCTCAACCCAGGCATGTGCCCTGATGGGGAATCAAACCGTGACCTCCTGGTTCATAGGTCAATGCTCAACCACTGAGCCACATCGGCTGGGCTTACCTCCTCTTTTGAAAACTTTGCTTTTACTGGGTATTAATATCTTAGGAGCAAATCTAAGAGATGACCAAGATGTAGCTCTTGGATAATTCAGGTTGGTTTCTGACCACTGACCAGCATGACAAATGATTAAAATCTTAGGAAGTCATTGGTATTGGAGAAATACTAGACTAGTGATGAGTTGGTTTAGTTTAAGCGCCTATAATCGTGCAATGATGCGGATTTGGTGGAGAAATTGGGCTGGGTTTAATATAAGAGGGACCAAGGTAATAAGGAATGGTAGATGTTTCTCTTTGTCATTTTGTTGTTGTTAATCCCCTCCCAAGGATATTTTCCCATTGATTTTAAGAGATTAGAAGGGAGGGGGGGAGAGAGAGAGAGAGAAGCATGGATGTGAGAGAGAGACACACTGATTCGTTGCCTCCTCCATGAGCCCGGATCAGGGCCTGGGCCAGGGAGGAGCCTGCAACAGAGGTATGTGCCCCAGAAACCTTTGCTCCACAGGCTAACGCTCTATCCACTCTAATCTCTCTGTGTGACATATTAGGGGACTTAGAAGCTGTGTGTCTTCTCACATTGATTGCAGTGGTGGTTGCACAAATCCGTGAATACACAACCAAGCACTGAATTGCTCACTTAGTGGGCAAATTGTATGGTATTGATTTATAGCTTCATATAGTGTGTGTATGTATATAGGTGTATATGTCCCAGTTCTGAAATTTTTAAGTAAGCCACTTAAAAGTATTTCAGAGAAAGGCAGAGTTGACAAGGTTGTTTGTTTGTTTATATTTCAAAGAGACAGGGAGAAGGAGAGAGAGATAGAAACATCAATGTGAGG